TCAGTGATGTGTCAGTGTGTCGGTGCGCGCAGGAGCATCCATCAGCGCCCCTTAATTCAACCGTGTGGCCACGTGGCAATGGAGTGTGATGTCACACTACGACACTCACAATCAGCCGGGGTCGCGAGTTTCAAATCCCGGTTGGACATTGACTCAGTCCATCAACCTTTTGGGGAGGTCGATAAATTGAGGACTACTTTACGGGAAGGGAATACTGGTTGTTCTACGGATAGGAACGATCACGCTATAGGAATGCAGCATTTGAATCGTGGCTCAAAGACGCGAGAGGAGATCAACATAACCCCGCAGATTTAGCGGGGATACATTATTGACTTTAAATTTCACGAGGTTAAGAGCTCACTGTGACTCATTATCTCTAGTGTCAATAACACCCCCGAGGAACAGCAAAAAGCGAAGTGAATGTTGCAATGGCGGGATCCTTTATTTAAAGCAGCCGCAGGTGAATTTAAAAGTCGGGGTATGGGGCTATTTTAGGAGCAGTAGAGTGTCTTCCTCCAGTGACGAATTCAACCACAGGGTCTTTGCTCTTCAACATTCATCCGACAGCAGGTGGCAGGCACACTTTAGTAATTCGGCACACAGGTCCATTGGGCCAGAGCAGAAATCGGTAACCATCTAATGTAACAAAACTTGATTCGTAGCGATGAATGTACGTGGCTAATGAGAGCGCTTCGCTTGAAAACCACACTCGTGTAATAACGGTCACCGCGTCGTGAATGTGAATTGTTGCTGGCCACATTCGAGAACTGGAAGCCACTAAACTCGTGCCAACTCAGGTGGAACTGCCAAGTGAGATATGTGGTCTGGGCTCGTGGACGATCGGCAAACGATGGGTCTGGCTCTTGGAACTGAACATCCTGGCGATGCAGCTGCCGATTACAACTCTTCAACAGCAGATGCAAGGACCAGCCACCCTAATTCGTGTTCGTGGTTTGCAGTCCGGCATCGCACTGGCATTAAAGAGAAACGTAGGGCTGTAACTAGAACGTGTCCTGGTGTATAAACAACCGCAATAACATGCGTGCACCGCACTGTATTTCCAGATTTATTAGCACACGGCAAGAACTGAATGTAAACATGTAAATGACTCGCAACTCTCTCTCTCTCTCCCTTACACTCGAGACCTGGCGCATACTACTTGCGTGATGCAGCCGTGCCTGGGAACTGTCAGGAGAGCCATCCACAGCCTTCGCTGCCTTACTCTGAGGCTCCTGTCCCCTCGGGCAACCATGGAACCGCATTGCAACTGCCAAATGCGCATGTCAGCGTGGAGAGAGAGATTCATTCATTCATTCGTCACGCATGGCCAGCGAATGACCGTTGCGCCGAACATCGTGACCTCTTATTCCGTGGTTCTTTCGGTAAAGTCACGTAGATAGGAAAAAAGTAACAATAAAATAATAATAAAGTGAATAAAAATAGCACGACGTCGTTCCTGATGACGACCGCTTGTGTTGCGATCGAAACGTCGTGATATTTGTATTCACTTTATTTTTATTAGTTTTCCTATCTACGTGACTTTACCGAAAAAAACATGGAACATGAATTCCTGCAGTCACGAAAGTTTTAAGTCAAAACTGCGACAGTGATCGCATCGACCGGTCTCTTGCTGCCCTACACCGGCGGTCTCGAGCGATTTGGTCGATCCACGGAATTCCACGCGTGAGTGATCCAGGGGGCGTGGCGCCATCCGTTCGAGGGTCGCAAGTCCTTGCTTCGAACGCCGACCGGAGTGATAAATTGGCCGCGGGAGTTTGCGCATCGAGACGGAGGGCGGGTGGAGACGTGTCCACAAAGTGACACCACAACCGTCTATCATCGGCGTTGGGGGGGGGGGGGTTATTTAACCATACTTCACCCACACCGAAACAGGTAAAGAACATATTCTTGGTTCTTTCGGTAAAGTCACGTAGAAGGCAAATAATAAAATCATAAAAATAAAGCAATAACATTTTCACGACATGTCGATTGCAACACAAGCAATCGAAACGTCGTGAGAATTTTATTGTTTGATTTTTATTATTTTATTATTTCCCTTCTAAGTGACTACCGAAAGAACCAAGAATATGAATCCCTGCAGTCACGAAAGCTTTAAATCTAAAGGTAAAGAACAGACAAGCCAAATACGCGACTACAGCAAGTATTTTTACACTATGGATAGATATATTTGTAGATAGGTACATGAAGACACAGGTGTGTGTGTGTGTGAAACTGACGTCTATGTAGTACAGTGATATGCATGTGCACAGGTGTGTGTGTGTGTGTGGGGGGAGCGGTAGTGTAGCGGTTAGTGCTACGCTGCGCTACAAACCCGGCGACCCGAATTCGATTCTCGCTCACGACCAACACCGGTAACGATTATCTGAACCGGTCCTTAGCCTCCCTTAGGTCGACTCAGCCTCAAATGAGTACCTGGTGTGGTGTGTGAACATTGCCACTGGGGGGACAAAGGCGGCCGGGCGTGGTGCTGTCACCCACCCCCTCGTGTGCCGTGACGGCATTCATAGGTGCTCGCTAACTGCACTTGCCCCTACAGTCTGTCAAGGCTATACGGGGGTGGGGGGCTTTGTCTTTATTTACTTGCTGGCGCTTCACCCTCACAAACTGCCTACCGAAGGCGGGAAACCCCCTACAAGCCACGCCCAGTCGGGACGATGATGATGACGATGCCACCGATGGCGTCACCAAGCTCTGCCCATTAACCTCCCGTCCAGAGGCACACGTGGTAACGGAGGCCGAGAGTTTGAGTTGCAACTAATTTCACGATTAATCGAGCGACAGAGTGATGACGGATCGACTGTGCTTTGGTAAATCGTGCGGCATTCAGACGGGCAGGTGTAGGCCGCAGGCCACGTGTCGACTAGCACGTGTACGTGGACAAACAAGAGGCACTACTTGCAGGATGCGGGAACATTGATGCGGACAACCGACTGCTGATATACTACACACGGCACACGCTTCACAGAGCCATATACAGACTGGTTATAGAAATAGAGGCAGGTCAATGCATACAAAACACGGGCACATGCGGACAGGTGTATGCATACACAAGGGTGAATACATACAACAGGTGTGTGGGTAATCTAGATTTGAGGTTTTCGTGACTGCAGGGATTGGTTCTTTCGGTAAAGTCACGTAGGTAGAAAATGAAATTAAATCACGACGTTTCGGGCGCAACACAAGCGTCCGTCATCAGGTGGGACAACCACAGCAATAATTTTTTTTTTACACTTCAGCAATTGTTATTTTCATTGCAGTTTCATGACATATACGTGTCAAATAAGTTACCTGGGGTATGGAAGGCGAGGACATGAAATGAAGGGGTCTACAAACATTACATTGGTGACATACTGAGATAGTAACAGGCACGCGCTCCATCCAGCTACTGAGGGGTTGCGCAATCAGAGGGGAGGCTGAGCTCGTCGCTGCCTCACCTCTCGTCTCTTCCTGTATTTGCAGCGGAGCTCCGCAAACCTGGCGATTTTGACGATCAAAATGATTGGAATCGTACAGAAATGACATTTATAACACAGATCGGTGGAAAAATCTTAATCATTTATTTTATTTTACTATTATTATTTTCGTAACAGCTATTTTCATTGGAGTATGACAGGTGATCCTGTGCCTCCCCTGACCTCACGTGCCTGCCGTGTGATGATGGATCTGCGGTGAAGCGGCAGCAGCGTCTAGCGCCCTCCGCTACCAACCTGGCCACCCGAGTTCGATCCCCGCTCGCGGCCAATGTCAGGTCGACTCAGCCTTTAAAGCGACTACCACCTGGCGCTCTGCGGACACATCAGCACCGACCTTCGCAGCTGCTCGCAAACAGCGATTACCCCCCCCCCCCAGCAGCCTGTCTAAAGGAGGGGGGGGTCTTTGTCTCTGTGCACACAATGCAGGTGCGGTCATCCCGACTCGCACACTGCGCACGTGTCGCTTCCCCCCCTGCCCCCCCCCTACCCCCCCTGCCCCTCTACCCCCCCTACCCCCTGCCCCTCTACCCCCCCTACCCCCCCTGCCCCTCTACCCCCCCCCCCTACTCCCCTACCCCCCTGCCCCTCTACCCCCCCTGCCCCTCTACCCCCCTACCCCCCCTGCCCCTCTACCCCCCTACCCCCCCTGCCCCTCTACCCCCCCTGCCCCTCCTGCCCCCCTACCCCCCTACCCCTCTACCCCCCCTACTCCCCTACCCCCCCTGCCCCCCTACCCCTCTACCCCCCCTGCCCCTCTACCCCCCCTACTCCCCTACCCCCCCTGCCCCCCTACCCCCCTGCCCCTCTACCCCCCTCTACTCCCCTACCCCCCCTGCCCCCCTACCCCCTGCCCCCCTACCCCTCTACCCCTACTCCCCCCCTACCCCTCTACCCCCCCTGCCCCTCTACCCCCCCTACTCCCCTACCCCCCCTGCCCCCCTACCCCCCCTGCCCCTCTACCCCCCTCTACTCCCCTACCCCCCTGCCCCCCTACCCCTACTCCCCTACCCCCCCTGCCCCCCTACCCCTCTAACCCCCCTGCCCCTCTACCCCCCTACCCCCCCTGCCCCTCTACCCCCCTACTCCCCTACCCCCCCTGCCCCCCTACCCCCCCTGCCCCTCTACCCCCCTCTACTCCCCTACCCCCCCTGCCCCCCTACCCCCTGCCCCCCTACCCCTCTACCCCTACTCCCCTACCCCCCCTGCCCCCCTACCCCTCTACTCCCCCTACCCCTCTACCCCCCCTACTCCCCTACCCCCCCTGCCCCCCTACCCCTCTAATCCCCCTACCCCTCTACCCCCCCCCCACTCCCCTACCCCCCCTGCCCCCCTACCCCCTACCCCTCTACCCCCCCCCACTCCCCCTACCCCTCTACCCCCCCCTACTCCCCTACCCCCCCTGCCCCTCTACCCCCCCCTACCCCCCCTGCCCCTCTACCCCCCCCCCCTACCCCCCTACTCCCCCTGCCCCCCTACCCCCCCACGCTGCCCGCGCTCACGACCCACCTGTATGGTCTGCGCGGGGTCCCCGGCCACGGGCCCGCCCACCAGCTTGCAGTAGAGCTGCTCCCGGGGCTGCCCGCCCGCGTCGTGGCCGCACGTCGCCGTGGCCGAGATCGCGGCCCCCTCGGCCAGGTTGAAGTAAGGGGGGTGCAGACTGTGGCCCCCCGTATCCACCACATCCTGGTGGTGATGATGATGGTGGTGTTGTTGTTGTTGCAGCAGCTGCGCTCCTCCGCAAGGCGCAGCGAAGCAGAGCAAGGCGAGGAAGGTGGTGGAGATGGTGATGATGGTGGTGGTGGTGGGGATGGCGAGCAGCAGAGAGCCGCTGCCGCTGCTGCTGCTACCCCTCGTGGTAGCGCGGGAGCGCCTGGCCATGGCAACACGCGCCGTGCCTCCTCCTCCTCTCTCCCTGCGTCTCCTCTCTCTCCGTGTCGCTCTCCGTGTCCTCTCCCCCGTGTGTCCTCTACCCCCGTCTCTCTCCGTGTCTCTCCCAGTGTCTCCCCTCTCTCTCTCTCCTCCTCTCTCCCTGCGTCTCCTCTCCCCCGTGTCTCCTCTACCCGTGTCTCTCTCCCCGTGTCTCCCCTCCCGTCTCGGTGTCCGCCGCCTGCTCGCCACAGAGATAATGTCCCCACCTTGCGCGCTGTGCCGGACTAGCAGCAGCAGCGGCAGCGCTTTAAAGTTGTCAGTGTGGAGGCGGGGGACCTGGTACGGCCCAGAGGCGGAGCAAAAGCCCTCAGTGTGTGTGTGTGGAGAGACCCCGCATGAGATTGCATGCTGCATGCTCTACGCATGCGGATGAGTTTGTTTCGTTATGCTACTTGCGTTAATTTGTAACTGGACTCCGCCGGGAACAACAACAGTGGCATTAAAAGGAAACAATGTATATTACCAAGCCCCACTGAGCTGTATTGCCATTTTTCAGAAGCGACCTGGCCACAAATGACAGCTCATCACGTGGATATTCAGAGCAGCAAATTACTCCAAAATTACACGTCGTTGATAAATGTGGAGGGAGAAATTCGAAGGCCTCAGAGAAAAATCCACGCGACAACGGGGAGAACACGAAAACTCCAAATATACAGCAGGCGTCAGGGTCGGGGTTGAAACCACGACCTTCTGCATACCAGGCGAGGTAGTTAACATCTCGCCACCGCAGGGCACTGTATAATGATATATAATATAGCTTAGCGACATTTCTGGCAATATCCCTTTTTACGTTGAATATTGTACAGTATATTTGTCACTGTCTATATGCCGTGTAATCGACTGTAAGTGCACTTTGATCAATCTGAGACATAATCGTCTGTAGTCGACTTACGCTGCAGGGGATGTATTATACAACAATATGTTACCTTTGTGCAATATATTTTATGTCACGTGACACGGTTATTTTTTTGGTCTCCGATTTATATTTTCACGGCCCTTTTATATTTATTTTCGTGATTTTTGGTGACACAGATCTCTCTCTTGCAAGGGAGGCTCTTGTGGTCTCCTCGATTCTCACCTGCTTCAGTACAATGTATCATGACCGCTGTTTATCCAGCAAGCCTCACTGTGTGTCTCAAGACTTTGTGCCCATGATGGTCCTGCCCTTGTGCTGTTTTTGGCCAATTCGACGAATGAGTGGCATGTTGGAGGAATCCAGCGTGACCTGGGGACAAACCCCATTCCTAGCAAGGGGGGAAACGCTTCAAGGCTCCACGCAGATGGTTTCATGAAACGATGTTCTGTACTGCCATCTCTTGGCCCAGCTCATAGCCCAGCGGGTTGTGTGGTTTCACAATCCTGCGTGAATCCACCAACCCTTTCCTCCAGAGGTCTGGGTCTCAAGGCGTGCACCACCATGCCCGGCTAAGTGAAGGTTATTCCACATCCAGATGCAACGTGAGTCATACATTCACCGTATTATAATGCGTGGAATTGACCATAAATCACAGAATCCATCGCAGCACTGTATAAAATCAAGTAAGTAACTTTTACACCGCAATATAACATACAATTTGAAAAAATCTGTTCGACGCTGCAGTCAATGTATTGCCCGACAGACGTCTTAAAGGGTGATCTTGTGGATTCCCACGTACAGTGTGTATGCAATAAGTCGTAACTGCCGCTAAAGATGTGGAACTGCTGAGCGTTTATCCCATAAATTCTCACCACGAACTTTGAAAGTGCCTTGTGCTGCTGTACTGCTCGCCCATAATCCTGTGAAAGCTCCACAGTCCTAGAATGTGCGCAACGTTTCTCGTTCGTATTAGCTTCAGATGAATTTTGTATTTCAATGGTCTGGCCTAAATACGGTCAGAGAGATAGAGAGAGTGACGTTATTGCTCTGTTCTCTTTTAAAGCCCCCTTTTAACGCAGAGCATATTTGACCGCAAACACCATTCAGTGATGTCGCTCTTTTCTTTTTCCTAGAAACTTCCGAGGGATGAAGACCGCGCGCGCGGTGTTATTAGTAACCCTCGGAAAACGGTCGTTCCTGAAAGCTACAACAACAAAAAAGAAGATAACCCCCCCCCCCCCACCATGAGTATCTGGCACTCAGACGCCCCCTGTCTCCGAGTGGAATTTCATTGTGGGGACGAACCTCGGAGGTGCTCCGCGCATTCCTCCGGCTATTTGTGCATCCGTACGGGAGAATATGGAACTGAGTGGACTTGCCGACGACTGGTACCGGCGGCCGTCAAGATCGGCCTCTGTGGAGGAGGCTCGTGAAGGACGCTGCTTCTACCGAGCAGTTGGAGGCAGTCGCCCTCCAGCAAAAACGGAGGGCAGAGGAGCGACGCTCACAACGAGCAGAGCGCCGGGCGGATGAAATTAAGCGAAGGTGGCACAGTGGGGAGTACAGCTGGTGTGCATCTACCGGTCATCTAAATCAGCCGACCCATGGCACCTGCTGGGTCTGTCCCGAGACCCTGTCAGTGAGCCTTCGGCACTTCACGTGGCCTCAAAGTGCACCTGGCCTGGCACAGGCAGTCTGGTGAAGTCACCGTCACTTAGTGGCGGTTTTTGGTATGCATACAATACCTTAGGAATGCCACTTCTATGGCGCTCGTAAAAAAAAACGTATAGTCGGGCACGTCCGCGTTGGAAAGTGCGGCGATGCACGAGACACCTGCGTGGGTGGCGATGACAGGCCGCTGTCAAACACCGTCCAAACGTCGCCGCGGTGCACTCTCTGGGGGGCTTGCACATCGTTGTGCGTGCGTGTCGAGCGGGTTACCTCCGACGCCTCCGCTGGCCCAACGCCGAAACGAAACGCTGCCACGTTTGTCTCTTCGCGGGCAGGCAGGCCTTCTTCACCCCTTGGACTTTGAGCGTGTGGGATTTTTTTGTTCTAGATTTGAAGCTTTCGTGACTGCAATGATTCATATTCTTAAGTTTTTTCGGTAAAGTCACGTAGGTAAAAAAACATTAAAAAGTAAAATAAAAAAAATCACGACGTTTCGGAGGCAACACAAGCTTCCGTCTTCAGGTGGTACCGTCACAGCCACGACAGCTGTATCAAGTAAACTTGATACAGCTGTCGTGGCTGAAGACGGAAGCTTGTGTCGCCTCCGAAACGTCGTGATTTTTTATTAACTTGATACAGCTGTCGTGGCTGTGACGGTACCACCTGAAGACGGAAGCTTGTGTTGCCTCCAAAACGTCGTAATTTTTTATTTTATTTTACTTTTTAATGTTTTTTTTACCTACGTGACTTTACCGAAAAAACCTAAGAATATTTTTTTGTTCCTTATCTTTATTCGGAATTCGCGTGTGCGAGTTCCAGCTCGCCGCGGCACCTCGTCGGGATGAGCGGAACTTTTTTCGCGAAGTCGGTTTTTTTTTAGTGCAGAATGTCTGTGAAATAATAGTGGAAGCGATTTCCGGAATTACACAATATACCTTTATAACATAAAATAAAATTGAATTCACACTCCAAGCTGTAAATGGGCTAAGGTAATGTAGGTCTCTATGGAAGTAACATGTTTTGTATGTACAGTATGTATGTTGAATTTATTATTTAGCACCGCACGTAGCCAACCGTGCTAATTGTACGTGCGGGTTTATTAAGCAAATTGACATATTGGGAACGCCACCTTTAAATGATGACAATATTTCGAGAACCGCGGATTATATACGTGTACAATTATATCCTGCAAGTACTAAATTAGTGAAAGATTATGAACAATAAGAATAGTTGTTATCCTTTCTGGCAATAAAACAGGTGATAATTGTTTTTTTTACCCTTCTATCTGGCAACAAAACTGACACCTTTTTTTACAAGGAGTCATGTTTGCATCGACCACAATACCTGCAGTCATAATGCAAACAAAAAACATAACTGTGATAATGTATGCACTGTCCTTGAAGTTGATTGGTCCACACCCGAGACAGCTTTCCTTAGAGCCGAGTCTCACATGGGTTGGACCAGATGACACCAAATGAGGTTCCAATGGTGTAAATGCTTACTCCGAGCTCTCATACTCTGATGGTGCATTGTCTTTGAGTTGTGCGCCTTTTGGCCATGTCTCCATTAACCACACACGGTATTTGTGGTGAACATGCAAACAAACATGCTCTGATAACATAATAGATGGCCATTGTCTTTGAAAGCGATTGGCCTACACCGGAGACAGCCTTCTTTATGGCCTAGCCTCACCAATGCCTAGCCTCACCAATGCCTAGCCTCACCAATGCCTAGCCTCACCAATGCCTAGCCTCACCAATGCCTAGCCTCACCAATGCCTAGCCTCACCAATGCCTAGCCTCACCAATGCCTAGTCTCACCAATGCCTAGCCTCACCAATGCCTAGCCTCACCAATGCCTAGTCTCACCAATGCCTAGCCTCACCAATGCCTAGTCTCACCAATGCCTAGCCTCACCAATGCCTAGCCTCACCAATGCCTAGTCTCACCAATGCCTAGCATCACCAATGCCTAGTCTCACCAATGCCTAGCCTCACCAATGCCTAGCCTCACCAATGCCTAGTCTCACCAATGCCTAGTTTCGCCAATGCCTAGCCTCACCAATGCCTAGTCTCACCAATGCCTAGTCTCACTAATGCCTAGCCTCACCAATGCCTAGTCTCACCAATGCCTAGCCTCACCAATGCCTAGTCTCACCAATGCCTAGCCTCACCAATGCCTAGCCTCACCAATGCCTAGTCTCACTAATGCCTAGTCTCACTAATGCCTAGCCTCACCAATGCCCAGTCTCACCAATGCCTAGTCTCACCAAGATTACATGCGGTAGCGACTGCACGTTCTTGCACGTACTCTTGTAGGGGCAGCCGTGTGGCTGACAAGGCTGAGCTGGCATGACTGAGCCCCGAGGGTTAAATCTGGGGTTTCCCACTGCCCCCTCGCCATCGTGACAAGCAGAATCCATCTATCTTAAAGCAGTGCAACCCCTGAATAACGGCCCACGGGAAGCGGACATCACAGAGCCACCTCCGAGTCCCCTTGACGTGACCTTTAACCCACACGGTCGGGGCAGCAATCTTCCACAGCCACGCTGTCACCGAGAGCAATGTCCATTGCAATGAGAGCCAAACAAATAT